ATTAAATAATCCAAGCCAGCCATTCCAAAAACATTTAATGAAGCAGAACGATTTAATTCACAAATTATTTGGAAACGAATGAAAAGTCAAAAGGAGAAAGAACAACGAACACAATTTTCAATTTGCACAACGTATTTAGGTACATAAACAACAAATATAACGTATATAAACAAAATAAGCACTTCAAAATTCCAAACAATGCGCAGAATCAAGTAAAATCGCATGCGAAATGTGACATTCGACTGGTGGAGACCCACTCGAGTAAACGTACACGAACCAAATCGTGTACGGACCGTTCGAAAGTGATCCGAAAATACGTAAACTCAATTTTCATGCGAATTTCGCCTTATTTCGTATACGAACGGCATTCGAATGGTTTCGAAAATACGACCCCTCTGGATAGCGGGGAAACCCGATGCTCCAGGCTTTGTACACAACATTTTTGTTAGATGCGAATAAAGCTATTTTTTGACTTTGACTTCGACATTATCTGCTTATGGAGAACTATAGGTCTGTTTCTGTAGAAATCACAAACCAGTCAGAGCGAATTTCATTGGTTGAAAACTGTCAGAAAACTAGTTTCAACCAATGAAATTCGCTCTGACTGGTTTCGGATTTCTGCAGAAACAAACCTAATATTTGATAAAGTCTTATACCATTATTTGAGAGAGAAAATTATTGAGCTATGATCAATAAATCCATCCAAAGTCATTAAGTGATTTACTTAGAATTCGTGTGGTAAAATGATGAAAAAATGTTTGAAATTAAACCTCAAAACAACCAAAACGTTCGACAATAAAACAAATAAAATGACCATAGCTAAAAACGTGACCAAAAAATATCGAAACGAATTTTTATAAAATAGTTGTCGTTGATTGAAAACAATACCCGCGGCTCTCCGAAAAAAAAAAAAACGTCAAAAATTAGATTAAATATTTGTTTATGGTGAAATGGTGTGCGACGTTTTGCGTATATTTGAATAGAAATTTTGAAAATAATGGACAATGGGAATATTCAAATTAACCGGGGAATAAATAGGGACCTTTATTGACATTAACAAAATATTTTGCATATATCAATATCGAAGCTCGGCGCACATAGATACAAAAGGTTACATACATTGGTTCAATTTTTTTATTGTTGAATAAACAAATAGATACCACATATATAGTTACAAAAGAAATATTTTTATAATGGAGCTCTGATGTGTATTGTTTTCCAAAAAACCACTGTGTGACGTGTGATGTATCCTGTCACTGGAGAACAAAAGAGGAACTAGAAATAATACACACGGGGAATAAAAGGAAGACCTATAATGGTCGATTAAATAGAGGGAATGAAAATAATTGTCAAAGTTTCAAATATAGTTTATACAGTTTTTGATTCATTTAGTTTAAAAGTTTAGGATGCAAATATGACAGTCAAATCTTTCAATTTTTTCAAGCTCTGGTTCTTATACACCTCGTTATAGAACTTTTTTAGGGATATACATCCATATTGGTCGAATCCAGAAACAACTTTTATCCAGATGAAGACAAAATAATGAAATCACAATGGGCTTAAATAATTAAATATGATAAGTTGGATATTATTACCTATATACTGTATGTAAGAATATATTTAATTTGTAATTATATTAATTTCCATTTCATTCTAATCCCAATAATATTTAATAATTCAGTAACGATTAAGTCATAGCATAAAGACCTATTATTAGTCATAATTAAACGTCCATTAGACGACCAGTGAACTGTGAAAAATCAAAACATTACAATGGCTCGATTAATTACGTTCAATAATACTATTTAAATCGGACAAAGTGTTTTCAATCGTATAAAAAAAATGTGTGGTACCCTTATCGTGTCCCTTATAGAAGCCCGCACCGAGGTCGTGTTTACGGGAATAGAAAAATCATAATCTAATTGAATCGTTTTAAGCAATTTATCATTCGAATGCAATAGTTTGATTTAGATAAGTACTAATTGAGGTAGAAGTTCATTGAATAAGGAAAAAAAAAATCAATAAATTAATTTAAATATTCATAATTCGTATAGCATTGGCCCATATATCTTCGTCCATATCGTTCTAGTCACGGTCTACAATTCCGATTCCAGCGATTTAATTATCTGCATCGCGAATTTCCAATGAATTGATACCCCCGGCTCAATCCTTGGGCGTTTTTCATAGTATTTTCACGCAGGATAAAAAAAAAAACACAATGGGCAACCGCGCTCGGGTACCATAATTAGGTACGAACGCGTACAAACACAAACGGTTGCGTGCATAACGCACCTGTAAATCATCGTAAAAATGATGATGGTTGCGCCTTGTTAACGGAACCATGGAAATCCTTTAATTGAGGATGGGTGCTCATACACCAAGAAGGAGACTTGTTGATGATGGATCATTGTTGTGGGCGAAACCAATAAGAAAAATTTAATTCAAATTTCAATGGCATACACTTGTCTAAGAAGTTTTAATATTTTAGACAGTGAGCAGCCTATTCTAGAAAAATGACGGTAATCTTTCTCTCTCAGGAAAGTGACTCTAAGTCCTCAACGAGCATACCATTATAATCGACATCTTGCCGGAAGAGCAAGCTTGCTTTAGTCCAAGCCCACCAGGTTAGCATGTTAGATTATAAAAGATCTTAAAAAGAAATTTCCCATTAGAGGCGCGCTTTCTAAATAGAGCAGAATCAGAGTCAAATTGTGACAAACCAATATCCAGTTTTCGCTGCAAATTCATCTACATACGCGTTTCGATGCTTTTGCAACTCGTCAGTACATTGCAAGTTTTACAGCGGAAACCAAAACCAGTTGGCCTATCCAAATCACTATCTCTGTGTAGAAATTTACGAAAAAAACATTGCTTACCAAGTCGGTTCCAAGTGTACCTCTACAGAATGAAATCAGGGCAAACCAATACCTATTCAGTGCACATTGCACTGACGATGTGCATCGAAACGCACTGTCTTATCGAAAATTTAGTACCGGTTTGATATGATTTGACACTCAAATTTCATTTCGTTGTTCATTGGGATCAGTTTCTTAAAGGCATTTCTCAAGTCCGACAACACTATGGCTTCAGAAAAGCTTTTCCATTCCAAAGGTTACATCCTTACGAAGTTCCTTCTAGGCAATTCTGCACATCTCTCCTTGTCCAATTTTCTGTTGTGATTATCGTTGGTCTGGAAGATATTCACTTTCCTTAAGTGTCGTGAAACCAAGATTTTGAAGTCTAAGTAGATATGGAAGGTTTTTGAGTTCACTCTTCACTGAATACGCTCTAAAACTTCAAGGTGCTTCAGGAAATATGGGCTTCAGGCTGACTATAGGCTATAGTCGAGCTCATTGAAACCTAGGTATGCATTATTGAAGGCCGAGCAAAGTCGAAGTCCTATGAACATGTTCAGTGGTTGAGGCAATTGAGTAAATATAATAGGACCCCGAAAAAAATCGCGTTGCTGAGGTGGAATGTCTCAAAGGGGGTGTGACCCAAAAATTAAAGTTTAAGTGCAAAAAAAACTAAGAATAAATATTTAAACCGCATCTTGTTACGATGGTTCCTTTTTGGAGTTAGGTCGGCTTAAAGTTACAACTAGGTGTTTGTGACGTCACACTGGATTATCAGGAATAGTATTAACACGTGGAATTTTCCAAAGCCAAATACAATTTATTACTAGTAAGTACGGTTCACTGACGACTGACCGAACAGAAGACTGCAATTTCGGCGGCTATGACATATATCACAAGTTCCTGCATAATTTATCTTCACAAGAAATTTTTTTGGAGACTATTTTGAATATAGGACTGCGGTTTTCACGAGAGATCTTAGATTTTTTTTCTTGATTTAAGTAGCTTAGGTAAGTCGTTTTTTAGGGTTACACCCCCTTTAAGCAATTTGGGGTGATTTATCAATTTTTCTGCCTTTTTTTTTATAGATTCCGGCTCCAAATCTCAGAATAATTTAGTGTATGGAGTTTAGGGGATCCCAAAGGACCACTAGGACACAAAATAAATTTTGAAATTTCATCATTTTAGTGCCGAGGTAGTTGCTACCTTACGATTTAGATTTGGAAAAACTTAGAAAGGTCATAACTTTTTTTCTATTATAGATGGAAAACTGAAATTTTCAGCAATTCTTATTCCAGTAGAGGACTACAATCCCTGAATTTCAGCTCATCTGGACTTATAGTTCCACTTAATTTTCCATACAAACAGTAAAGTGTGCGATGTGCGATTGTGCATTTTCCATAAAAAAGTTAAATTACATGGAAAGTAGTGCTTCAAAAAAACTGATTTTTGGTACATTGATTTGCTGGGTGCATTGTTGCGTCTTGGTGTGACCGAAATGGTGATTTTTTAATTAGTTTTTGCTCAAGAAGCGAAATTCCTTAATCCTATTTTTTGAGTATGCTGCACAAAAAAAAAAGTTCATTTATTCAAATAAATTCTTATCCTAGGTATATAAATAACATCAAAAAATTTAAAGTCCATGCGTTACCTGGGTAATTTGAAAACTTGACACGTTTTGAATATGGAATGTTTCTTGTGTGGACTTAAGGGCCTCATACACTACGTTCTTTTTCGTCGGTTTTCATCGCCGCGATGAAACATACGTCGTTCCAAAACCGAAGTGTATGGTAGAAAAACACGACGGTTTTCTACCACACACTTCGGTTTTGGAACGACGTGTTTTATCGTGGCGATGAAAACCGACGAGAAAGAACGTAGTGTATGGGGCCCTTATGGGGCCCTTTATAAAACAACCAACAAAGGAATTGAAGACTGGATATTTCCCATGCGTTAGTTGCAGAAATTCAATATGTGCAGAATGCTCAGATTTGTCAACCTCTGAACTCAGATGTTTGCCGCTACAAAAAACGAGTTGTCAAGTTTCACTGCAGAAAATGTAGAAATAATGATTATGTGGAAAGTATTAAAAACATAATTACAGATAAAGAAATTATAATTCATGACAAGAATGAAATCTCAAAAATGCTCAAAGGAAAAATAGGTGCTCTTGAGCTTAATATGGGAAAAATTTCTAGACCGACATTTGCTGATGTCCTCCAGGAGAACCGGCAGTTTATTAACCAGACTATACCTCAGAATATACCCGATGTAAACATTAAACCAAAGATCCCCCAAGATGTCCAGCAAACTAAAAATGATATCACAATAAATATCAACCCTAATGAATTAAAAATTGGGATAAAAAAACTAAAACCAACTAAATCTGGTGCCATTTTGATCAAATATGTCAATAAACGTGAAGTGGATGTTCTCAAAGCGGCAGCAGAATAAAAACTGAAAGACACTTACTTAATAGAAACAACAAGGATGAAAAAGCTAAGAGTAAAGATTACAAACTTTAAAAAGGATATGACAAAAAAAGAAATAACCAACTCTATATTACAACAAAATGAAACTCTGATGCAAGACTTCAACGTGACATATATCAAAAATGGAAAAAATGGTAACAAAACCATATTTGGAGGATGCTCAGGTTCATCGTTTAAGCATCGAATATCTACGGAAAAATAAGATTTTTAGGATTTACTTCGCAACCATTGCTCTAAAATAATTAGTTTGTATCTGACTAATGGTTTTTTAAATCTTAGTAATCTAATTAAGAGTTGAAACATCAAAAAGAAATATTTCTATTAAAATTTTGATACGCCTCTGGACTATTTTAAAAATTTTAGATTTCTCAAGTTGAAATTTCAAATTTTTTGTTTATAAACTACTCCTAAATGTCATTTGGAACAATATTTTCTTATAAAATTTTTTCATATTTTTTATAAAAATGCCACTTTTCCTTGTTTGAAATTTTCAAATGGCATTTGACAGGTGTGAGGCAACTCTCGAGTCAAAAATTTTAGGAATTTTTTTGGTTTTCAGTCATGCAGAACCTAATGCCGAAAATCGATTTGAAGTAAGGATGAGCATAAAAAAAATTCCCATATGGTGCAGACTTTTCCGCGCACACTGTATATGGAAAATGTAAAACTCTTCTAGCATTTTCGGATAAATGTTTAAATATTATGCATTTCAACATACGGAGTGCAAATAAAAATTTCGATAATTTCATTACTCTGGTTGAGACGTACAAGCTGATGAACTGTGACATCTTTGTGTTGGGTGAGTGCTTCTAGGAAGTGGTTTCTGAGAACCTCAATATTCCTGGTTTCGTGACAGTTCATAGCGGCGGAAGTTTCAATAGAAATGATGGAGTATTAATTCTTATTAAAAACAGTTTAACTTTTAATGTATCGAATCAAAAACTTGATATATGTGGTGCGACCTTATGTATTACATGTATAGAGATATATAGTATGTATTTTAGAATTATTGCTTTGTATAGACACAATCCAAGTAACTTGATCTCATTCATTGACGAAATTGATATATATCTGGAAAATTCACAGCAGCTGAATGAGATCGCAATATTTATAGGAAACATAAATATAAATCTTTTAAATGACAGCAATGTTAGTGTCAATAGATATTTACTAGCCAAACATGGTTATTTACCCTTATTTAGGCCAACTCGTACATTGTGGAATGTGACTTCACAGGTCAATATCCTGTTTTTATGAGTATAAATTTCAAATCTAAAACCAATTCTCTTTCGGAAAACCTCATTAAAAAACATAAAAATAAATAATAGAGCACTAAAAACATTTTTAAATAATGAAAATTGTGACCAAGTAATAAGCACTGATGACCCATAATTAGCCATCGATAAGTTCTCAAATACTTTCAGTAGTTTAGTAGTTAACTGCTATGAGAAGTCATATCATTCCAGAAGGTAACTTTCAGTTATTCTGTCAAAATAGTTTTATAATACCCGCCCTTAGCCGCCTGTTCTCAGTGATCATGCTTTTACCGCCTTACCACGTCTCGAGTTTGTTATTTTTTTCCAATTTTTGACTTGGAAAGGCAATTTGCGTCTGTACTTGTGGTTGTGGTGAATTGTGAATTTTAAGTAAATACATTAAAAAGAGCACTGAAAAACGCTGACTTTCCAGTCAGTGACTTTTTTAACACAAAATCAAGTGTTCTTAGTGAAAATTATTCATTAGAATTAAGTGAAATAACTGAAACAGATGAAACGGTTGTCGATGCTGTTGCAAAAATACTGCAAGTGAATGTGAAAATTACAATATTGCAGGAGCCAGCTGCAGTTATCCTAAAAAAAGGACACAGGAACTGGTACAGGAAGATAAGGAAGATGACACAGTTCAAGATGTATCCACTTTAAATGATAATGAAAAAATGTATAGCATTTGAACAATAAACTGTTTTGACTTTAAAAGTGGCTTTCATGTTTTTCCCTATTACTATTAAAGATAGACATATCAAACCGTATATCGTTGAAATCAGGTTGAAGGGAACTAACAAATAAGCGCACAATATACATAGTGTTCCATTTAAAAGAATATAAATTCGTACTGCTACACATTTTTGACGCACCCTGTATGCTTAAAACTGACTTATGTAGTTACAAACTTTCGACAATTTCTTAATACTTTTGTATTCAACATTTTTTTTCTAAAACGTCAAATGAAAAAGTAAAAAGAGGTGACATTTATAATAGATCATCCTGTACCTAATTATTTGAAACATACATAGATACCTAGAAACATATTTTTGGATTTTTGCTGCCCACATTTCAAACTTTTCTGCCGGTTGTCGCCCAACTGGAAAGAAAAAGCTGGCGCCGCCACTGAAGTGATGCCATGTGTTCTGTTTTATTGGAAGTACTGGAATGATTAGACACAAACAAGAAATGCGTCTCTGTTTTCCTTGATTTGGCGAAAGCGTTCGATACTGTTAACCAGGCTAGACTTATTGGTATTCTAGAACGCTCTGGGATACATAGCTTGGTGTTAGACGTCTTTCGGACCTATTTGACAGATAGAATGCAGTATTAGTATTGGTAATGCACTTAGTAATCCAGAAACTATTAAAATAGGCGTCCCCCAGGGAACAGTCCTTGGAACCATATTCTTTTTGCTGTATATCAATTCATTGTTATCTCTTATTACTGACGTAAAAATTGTTGCGTACGCAGACGATACAGTGGTAACATTTAAGGGTGCAACATGGGAGGTAACCAAATTGGCTGTGCAAGTGGCATGGAAAAAATTAAAAATTAGCTAAACTTCAACTATTTGTCGCTAAACGTTGATAAAACACACTATCTTGCCTATAGGGGAGAGTGGGGCAACTTCGACAGGCGGGGCAAGTTTTGTCACCGCGATTTACTCGGAATCAGTTGGATTCGGAAATTCCGAAACTGGCTTGAGGGTGCGTCGTACGTATCAGTTAGTTGCTCCTTAAGTCTGGACAAGGTAGCTACTCAATTTGTTGCATGAAACGCAATTATTGAGTTTTAAGTGAACCACACTGTGTTCGATTGAGGTTGAATCAGTGCACCCTCATCAACATTAGGTAGGTATTAAAATTTGGTACTAAAATGTATGGAATTGAAAACCCTGCAAAATGATGTATCACTTGACCCCTCCTTCCATTTTAGATTTTCTAGGGGGTGGCTCTGAGGGTTGGGGTTTGAAAAAGCGGAGGTGAATTTTGCATAAAAACTTATCCCCCTTCTAATTATAGTTGACGTGTTCCAGGGATTTTTTCAGAAATTTTTCTACTCCGAGATAATAGCGATGGGAAGTTTTCAAATTGACACCTTGTATACATATATAGCCATCAGCTGTGACAGCACTCCACTTCCTAGTAAACTGAATTTGATCGGTTTAAATTCAGAAGAAGAACATGATAGCCCTTGCCGTAATCTAATCAGCTGTTTAATGTATATTTTATTATGTAAAATGATCTAGATTAGAAGAAGTACACTTAAATTGAACCCAAATCGATCTAATCTAGGTCAATCCAGTTCTGCTTATATAGAGATACGTGGTATTAAATTCAAGATCGGTCCAGCCGTTCTCGAATTCAAAAAATTAATAAAGTTACGTCGGTTGAATGCGCAAGCCTAAATAAATGAAATGTGGCAACGTTGTTTTATGTTTTCAAAAAAAAGTTGGGTTATGTTGATATGTAATGTGAATGAGTTTGTTTATAATCAAATTAATAATTAATTCAAAATTAATTTCTTTTTCCGAGATGCGTTACCTATCCACAAACCTTTCTTGGGATGGCCATAACAAACTACCAAAGTTTCATCGTAATCGGATAAGTGGTGTAGGAGCGCATAAGGCACAAACAAACAAATATTGATTTTTATATAAAAATTGCAAAGGAATCGAAAAAATATATTTTTCATAATTTGATAGCATTTAATAAAATTTTTAATTAAGTATGTAGTAGGTAGATACCAACCTAACCTACTGACTTTGTGTTTTCTTGTGTATTGCATATGTATAATATTATGTACATTTTACTGTATTGTAATTGTAACTGTAATTTAACCATTCTTAATTATAATAAATTTGTAATTTAGTCTATAATCTCAGTACAACACAAGAGTGTTAAATCACATATGTGCTTGTTTTTGGAAAAAAAGAAAATCGTGTTAATGGGCAAGCAGAAAGCTTATGAGACCTTGATGGGTAATATTTTTTTTTGTTGAATTGGACTTTGGATCTCCTTTTGTGAATTGGTATGACAAAGGGCCTTTCTCCAAAATTCTGACAAGGATTTTTGTATAGTAATTGAGTGAAAAACTAAGGATGGTAAGTCGGGTTGAGCAAGAACGGCAGTTTGCAAAAGCCTTCGTCTTTAAAGTGACTTCTTGATCAGTGTATCTTCATGTACGTTTCCCATATTTGAGTAGAAAGTTCATTTGATTTTTTTTACCAGAAGCAACAGAGACACCCCTCTTCATAGAAAGCAGTAGATTGTATTAGAATTCTGATATTGAGAAGATTAGTAAATTTCTGGCAGCTTCTGTCATTTGCAACAGTACTTACGTTACGTCTTAGTCCATAGTTATCTTTTCTTAATAAAATTTTCCCATATATCTTAAAAAATATATAGGTAGATTGAAAAAAAAAACTAGAAATTTGTAGTTTTTAAGTATGGCTGAATATTAGTCGTTTATCGATGATGGTAAAAGTTCGAATTTTGCAGTGTAAGCAAAACGGGTATATAAGGTGAAAATGGCGGTCGCGATGTCATCGAGCGTGAAATGTTGCGCCCGCTCCTGAATAACAATGGCGGTTCACCATTGTATTTCGAAAACGAGCAAAGGTCAGTGGCGGACGTACCCGAACAATACTCCTCAAGTACCTGAATAATATAATACTCGGGTGCTGTGGTTGTAGACG